GTGGTGGAAAACAAGTCTGGGGCGCACGGAGAAATCTTGAAGGCTCTTTAGCGAAGGCTTGCGTGTGGCGTTGTTATATTGCAGCCCAGCGACTGAGATGGACGTTAGACAGGTAGAAGCGTCATGCTGCTGATACTTGAGTCTTGCGCGGGCATGGGCGTAGGAGTAGGATAGGGTATATAAGGAGAGGCACGACACCCAGTGACAGCACCTCATCCGCATCTACACCTTGATATTCGACCATTACATCTACATTATCAGTCTTTCGTTCAAGATGAAGTTCTTCGCCGCTGCTGTTGCCCTGCTACCCGCTCTTGGGTCAGCGCATACTATCGCTCAGCGCGTCCGTATCAACGGCCAGGATCTGGGCCAAGGCAACGGTATCCGTGTCGCCCCTTCCAACAACCCCATCACCAATGTCAATGACGGCAATATCGCTTGCAACTCGGGTGCTTCTTCCTCCGGCAAAGTCATCGACGTCAAGCCTGGAGACAAAGTCGGCGTGAACTGGGGCCACATTGTCGGCGGAGCACAGTAGGTCATCCTGTTCTCAATCCTTTAACAGCATAAGACTAACTCATCCAAGAGGCTCAAACGACCCCGACCACCCGATCGCGAAGTCTCACAAGGGGCCTGCTATCTTTTACATGGCAAAGGTCTCCAATGCCGCTAATGCGTCCCCCTCTGGTCTCCAGTGGTTCAAAGTCTCCGAAGACGGTCTCGACAGCTCTGGAAACTGGGGTGTCGACCGCATGATCAACAACGGCGGGTGGACGGAGATGACTATGCCATCTTGTGTCGCTCCGGGCCAGTATCTCCTCAGGGCTGAACTCATCGCCCTGCATAGCGCGAGCTCGACCGGCGGTGCGCAGTTCTACATGGGCTGCGCGCAGATCAATGTCTCGGGATCTGGATCGAAGATTGGCAGTACCGTCAGCTTCCCTGGTGCCTACAGGGCGGATGATGCGGGTATCAAGCTCAGCATCTACAACGCCCAGGGTCAGCCAAAGGGCAACGGAACGCCTTACAAGATTCCTGGTCCGGCGAAGCTCCAATGCTAGAGCAATAGCACGTCAACCCGGAAAAAAACTGAACACCGTGGAACCTACATTGCCACAAAGTTTTCTAATTTGCTTATTTTACCCTGATGTAGTCTGCAGGCCTGTTCGAGTTTTTTTCTTGTATGAGGTGATAGGAGACGCTGAGTGATTTGGATGGGCGTGCGCAGTCGGAGGTAATTCTTGGGCTTGGGGGCTTTTCGCGAGCATCTTTACGACCTTCTATGTACATACTGTAAGCGTAAAATTGGGAGATAAAATGCTGGTGGCCGAGTAGCAATATCCAATCAATGCGTCACCGAGAACAAAAGTGGTATGTGATGGTGATGTGATGAGTCGTTACGTGACATGCGCTCGTGCCTGGGCTGTGCAAATGTACGGGCTGGTCGCACAACGGTAAACGGTGAGTGAGGCTTGCATGTACCCCGCTTTAGGCGCGTTCACGGAGGAAAATGCAAAAGCACAAAGAGATAGAGTTAATACCTAGGTAGAAGTTTGAAACAGTTATTGTTATGTCTGAGCTACGTGCATCTAAAAGTCTTGCGCTTTTTGCAGCATTTTGAACAGTGTTGCATTCGCGGCAGTTCATGATTGTAAGACAATGTAAGATGGTGATGGTGGTTTCTTGTGCCGCATTCCACCGGTAGATGGGCGGTTAGCGGACATGGTCGTGGTGGGCGCCGGCCCCACCACCCAACAAAATTCTGCGTTTGAAGAACCACTTAGCCAATGAATGAAGTCGTTCATTCGGACGTGTCTGGTGGTCTAGACAAGTCCAGGTAAGGTTGTATTTGCCCCGCTGTGGTCCCATTTGCCCAAGTAAGTCTCCAGTGACCAACTTTTGAACAAGGATATAAATCTTACTGCTGAGCTGTATTCCATCAATCATCACAACCACAGGAGTCGTGCCAGAGTGGTTAATGGGTATGACTCGAATAAGCTGTTCGTTTAGAGCAGCTTGAATAGATATCATATGCCTTCGGGCGCGCAGGGTAAGAAATCACTTCTCCACAACTACACATCCACAAGACAAGCAACTAACATGGTCAAACAGTTCGAATCCTGCCGGCTTCGCTTCTTTTTGCCCTTTTATAATATCCTGTAAGGTTTCCTGAAGGATAGGAATAGTTGTGGTGGAGATAAAGGGGAGAATTGATACTTTTTGCGCACAAAACCACCATTTCTTGACCGATTTTGAATTTGAGACATGCAAACACTTCTACAATACGAATACATTCATTCCAGCACAAATAAATGCTCATACCTAGGTGTGGGGGTAAAACACAAATTTTGGTCATGTGAGTTTTGGAGGGCTCACAGACCCCACTTCGGCCGACGCACGCAGTGTGCGCAACTTCAATCCTTCCACAACGTCCAAACACAACCATCAATCTTTTCGCTCCGCTAATGCTCTATGATCTTGTTGCGCATCGTATTCTCTTTGCCTCAGGCCATCGCATGCTGATTTCCAGATTCCGTTGTGTGCACCCGATTCCTTCCGAGGGAGATCGGCATTCATACGCTACTCACGAGCTCCTCGCCGCGTGCGTCAACATAGCAATGCATGCTTTGATCCATACCGAAAGGGGGGGCGACGCGACGCACGGGTGGTACAGTAGGCCTGCTTGGATCGCTCGTTGACGAAGTTATTGCAACACGCTTGAGGAGAAATACGCGCGTGATGAGCGAGGCATGTGATTTTAGCCCAGGCTTGCGACCTACGGGGAGAGTGCAGCCACCGCAAACTTTGCCAACGGCGAAGCCTTTTACCTACAGTAAGCTGCTTAAGGGTGGGGCCTAAGACATAGAACACCCTGTACCCGACAGACTTACCACGACCCTCGTTTTGGGTGATATACCGCCATTGATAGTTACAGTCGGTGCGTCAACGAACATCTCGGTACTTTTGTATGAAGGGAACAGAACTTCATTATGCTAGAAGCGCCAAGGGCATGCATGAGCAGACGACACCCACAGGAACCATCAGCTTCGTACACATTTCTTGTGTAGGCAGATGCTGCTTTGCTAGCGTACATAATTTCCGCACCTTGGCCGCGGCAACACTTGAGTGACGCATTCAGCCCTACATCTTCTCGCAACAGTAATCGATATATATGTACTCAAGTGGTCCAGCAGAACAATCGACATGTTGCTCTTTGCAATTCCCCCAAATCGCTAGATTGTATGCAACAGACGTGACGGTCCTGTCATCGTCTTCGCAGAAAACCTTGGCGCCATAGAAGAAAGTCCTAGGCTGACAATATCCGTCTTTCTGGAACATGTTCTCGATATCGGCTTGATTGCAGTTGCCTTCTCCAAAGACAACACCTTGCGTCGCGGAGCACTGAGTCTGCATGTTGCTAGAGATACAAGTCAGCTCGTAGTCTCGTCCGGGCACCCTGGCGATTCGGATAGATGAAGACGAACTTGACGATCAGACAGCTCATGGCGGTGCCAACACCAACCTGGCCGTTTGGACAGCCTTTTCCCATGACTGAACGAGCAAAGAGCGTAAGGGCTCCGGCAGCGGCCAGCTTCATGCTGTTTGCGTCGCGTCTAATTGCCGACTATGTCCCAAAGTACGATGTGCTCGTACAGGATTTGAAGTCTCGAAAGCGAAGCCAGGTGTATGAATAGTATGAAGATGAAGGTTCTTGAGGAGTGAGAAGGTAGTTTGCAAGACCCACCGCGTCAATTGTCGCCTGATATATGATTCCCTGGAATTTTATACGGCCGTATGGCTTCACAGCAGTGATATTGTTGGGCCAGTCGGTGACCGACCGCTAAATCTCATTGCAGGATTATTGATACCATAGTCCCATGACCAGAAGGACTAGAAGGACCAGAAGGACCATGACCGGGTACATGTAGATCAAGCTTTTAGCCTAAGCTTGTTGCTGCATGCTCTTCGCCGGGCACGTTGCATCCCCATAACTATCACCTCTCAAGTGGCCTTGGGTGCCGACCCTAACTCTATACCTCTGAAATCTCGGGTGCTGTAGCCGTGTGATCGTCCTGAATACCTCTTTTGCGTTATACAGCGAACGGGGTCGTGCAGGAGGGATATGCCATAGTGTCGACAGGGACATCACCCAGCCGAATGATCTAATCTTCAGGCGATCTTCGCCCATAGCTCGAAGCGTACATTGCTCGATGAGCTGACGTGAGAAGGTATAGACAGGCTAGTTCACCAACATGCATCTAGTCTTCCAGTGAGCCTAGCTAATCGCTCGAAGCGTATATTGCTCAACGACTTAACGAGAGAAGGCACAGACAAGCTAGTTCACCAAAATGCTTAGCCGCCTAGCGAGATGCTTGACCCATACACCCTGTCAGACCAGCTCACTCTAAGATATATGACCAAATGCATAAGCCCTCACTCGGATTACTAGCCAATCACCTCTGACGCATCACAGCACCTTTGCCTAGGGCCTTAACTTATCAGAATCTTCATCAACACTGCCCGGCCGTGGTTTCTTTGCTGATCTTCTCGTAGTTCGTGAGCAGGACGTTAAGAGTCGCATTGCTGAGATTTGGAACGCTGAGCACCTTTCGCAGTGTCTCGTTGTTGTCGTTGGCTACGATAACACCGCTCCTTCCTCGTGCATTATACTACCTAGGTACTCACTGACTAGATGCTGAGGTAAATAGTTAGGCCACGATGACAGCGCACCTTCCTTAAGCCTCACGGTTCTGGCTAACTGGACCTCGGGATGCTGAGATAAATGGTTAGGCTCGATGACAGCGCTCCTTCCTCATGCCTCATGGGTCTGACCAACCAAGCCTCACCAAGCTCCCACTTATCAAAGAGAGCGTCTCACTTCCTGTCAACGCCCCCGCTCCATCGCTCCCTCGATCACAAGTCCGACAGTTAAGCATCACCAAGCTCTCACTTCCCATCAACGCCCCCGCTCCATCGCTCCCTCAATCACACGTCCGACAATGGCACCAAAGAAAGGACAAGACAACAAGAAACCTGCCCAAACACCTGCTCGAACAGCTACCGAGGTTTACGACGAGGGAGAGAACAACTTCAGCACAGATGTTTATGCTAGTCTCATAGAAGACGAGATTAGCAGCGTAGATGAGGATATCGCCCCCCAATATCCCACAGGGGTGCGCTATTAGCGACAACGATCTTTTTGACGACCTGAGCCCCACCGACATCGAGGCGCTTGTCCAGCGGCTTCTCCCTGGCATTTGCCAGCAAGGTAAGCTACACTCGTACAAGATGTACTCCGGTATACTGACTTTATGCTTGCAGATGTTCAGCACTTTCTAGCCCAGATCCATACACACCATTCGCCGCCCTTCGCAATACCACGCCACGAGCGCGAACCTAAGAGCTAGCCTACAACATATCAAGAGTCGGATGAGCTGTGGCAACAAGCAGCCAAGGGCGAGCGCGCCATCAAGCTACCTGTTGGGGCTAACATGCCCAAGTGGCTTAATATAGAGGAAAGCCAGCTAGGTAAGTTTCTTTTAGGAATTAGAACCTAAAAGGCGGCTAGACTAACTATATCTCCGCAGTAAAGTATCCGGGCAGCATTAATAATAGCCTAGTTATAGTGTTATTATACCTAATAGCACGCGTCAGGAGCACTGTCTACATGTTCTACAGGACGACAATAGACTTATCTAATGTGTCTATGCTTATGCTGTACTTGAGGTTAAGTTTGCACTTAAAGTCTCTCTAACTAACTAGCGCTCTACACATTAACGCATTTCCCCGCTGCATTAATCGCAAGACTGTTTCAACAGGCTAAAAGGTTCTAGACAAAGTTCCAGCTGTCCTACGAAACTATTAGCGGAGTGTCGCCCACGAATGGCTCGCACGCTCAAACGCCAAAATCGCCCTTCTTGTAGGAGCAGCTGCCATCACGACCTATGTGTCCTACCTGGATGCGAATCAGGTTCAGCACCAAGAGATCTGGTTGGCCAATAGCAAGAATGTAAGGTATAACCTCATGAACTGCACATGAGACACATACTAACATCTATACGAGGACCACTCGACCAAGACGCCACCCTGTTGGGTGGAGTTTGATAAGGACAACCACGTCAACCGCATCGTCTTCTCCGTCCCGCATCCGGAATACTTTAACCGCTACCGCGGCACGGTAGTCACTCACACGATGAGAGCCAATGCGCTCAAAGAGCGCTTAATGGATTTCGCAATGGTGAAGGTATGGGGCTCGGCACACCTGCAAGGCTTTCTCAGCACAGCCAATCATCGTTTTCAGACCACAACGGGTATTATTCTGCGCATGTCGGACTTTGAGGACTACGGCGAAGACAATGAGACACTCCGTACAGTTCTAAGCATCCCGAACTTGAGGAACAGTACCCTTAACGTCCTCCTTACCGGCTACAAGAAGATAACCAAAGAGGAGGTTGAGGGGATCAAGGCGATGCGGAAGACCATGGACGTCGAACTCACGGAGAAGCCATCTCACTGGGACAGAGCGGACGTCATCTCGAAGTACGGCCACCACGCATTTACGTTCAAATTGATCGCAGAGCGGCGGGAGGGGCCGAGGCAGTCTACCGAACCCAAGACGCAACCCCTTGCATTGTCGCTATATGAAATCGACGGAAACACCTTCCTCAAAAGATACAACACCACGGTCGCGGACCTTCTCGCGAAGGAAGAGATCAAGAAACAGAAAGCCTGCGTGCGAAGGAAGAAGAGGAGAGCAGTTGAGATGGAGGGTGAGGACAAAGAGAACGCCGAGGACAGCTATCAAACACCAAACTTGACGCCTTTGAGAAAGAGAGTCGCAAGCATTTAAACTCATCTCCATCATACTTGGTACCGGCCAAAGTACGCGACTCGACAGATTAGCCATCAACGTATGATGACATGGATATGGTCTGGCGACATCCGCATGTTGGGGAAAAGGCAGTTACGCTAAGGAAGACCCCAGTTTGGCTCACCATGGGAGAAGAGAATCTGGAGAAGCCTGTAGGCTCTCTACGCGACAGTCTCACGATAATATCGTCGTAACCTACTACCGATAGAAACAGTACTATTTATTATCGATAAGGAATCAGCCTGGACTTGTCCAATCTCTACCTACTACTACTCTTCGCTGAAATTAGTCTGTATCTACCATCTCTCTGACAACACAGAACCTTGCACGTGCATATAATGCCTCGTCGCATCGACCGGAAGCGGGTAACCAGCGGTACGACTCCGAGTCCCCAGTGGGATGGCTTGAACACGATGAGCAAACACAGACTGTGAGGCGGCTCAGTCTAGTGGTATACCAAGCCGAGTCCTTTGACCGAGATCGAAGTGTTCCTGTCACCAATAAGAAGCATCAGTTCGCCATTCAGGAGAGGCTTATCGACTACACTATCGTACTGCTATGGAATCAAAAGCATCATCAGACGTCTATGTTCTCAGATGCGTACCATGTCGATGTGACCAGCCTGTTGCTGCCTTCCTTATCCGATTGCATATGCTATCTTCACACAGACTGCCGTTGGCTTCATTGATACATATGTAGACTGTCGCAACCCAAGCCTCTCAGTCCACCCCGACTGACAACCCAAGCCTCAACGCAGCATAAAGCTATCGCCTCATGCAAGGAAGAAGCCGAACTCACACCCTGGAGCCTACATCAGCGTCAGGCTACCCACTTTGTACATTTTTATCTTAATGTAGGCTGCAGACCTCTTTGGGTTCTCATTGTATAAGGTGCGATGGTCAAGATAGCAGGCACGATCAGAGCGAGAGCCGAAGCAAAGGAAAGGTCAAACGATCGATGGAGCGATATATCGAGGTAGTGAACCAGGCGCTTCTTGATAGCGGTGCCACGCATCTCGTTACCCAGACAGCGATAACTGATCCTCTGATTCGGCCAAAGTATTGGGGATACGTGAGAGCGAGAGAGACGCGCGTCATATGGTCTCTCTGCTCTATTGTTGTATATCCAATCCACCCCGTGGGCACCTCCGCTTGATAGCACTCGGAGGTGTGCGGCCATATAGCCCGGTAGGGTAGGTGGTGCTTCTCTTCCTAGGTAGGTGCTTTATATAGACATTAACCCCTGGGTGCCTGATAGTAAGACCGAACTTAGCCCTCGTCACCTATTACCAGGTTACGATCAAGTCGTCTTAGTATGACGTCAGGATGTAGTGATTTGTGTTGCTGAGAGTGACCTCGGGAGCGAGGTCTACGAGTGCATTCTGACTTTCGCGTGCAGGGCGAGCATAGAAAAGTCGAGCGTCTTGCTATACTCGTGACGAACGGTGTTGCTCGGGGGAGCAGTGGGGTGTGGTGAAACGATTAGTATTTCATCCTTGACGCTTCCTGCAAACTTGACGTGTGTTTTTCACCGGCATATCAAGTCTGGACGGCATGTCGATACCGCCGAGGAGCTGAACAACCTGTTCTCCTTGCACAGCCATATCGCATAGTCTGTCTATTTCATCATCGAAAAAAGGTTAGATAGTTAGCTGTCTGCCCTAGGATAAGATGAGGAAGAGCGAACAAAGCTCTGCGTATGAGCGAATCTCTACATGAAAGCTTTCCTGACTGGACAACACAAGGTGTATACGCTCTATGATTGTACTCACCTCATCGAATGATAGCTCACCAAACAACCCTTTGTCTGTAATAGGCCATCAATATATGGTGTCGTTGTCGGGAACCTTCATCACTGGTTCAGCTGTCGTCAACGTCGCTTGTGACTACAACGGGGCTTTCCTTCCCCTACTCTCAGCCATAGCAAGTCTTGGAGCATACAGTATAGTCTACCGTACTAGTCCGTCACCGTAAATCCCAGCGAACACCTCCAGGGTACAACTTCAGGCCTAGCTTCGACCCAGCGAACTTTCTGGTAGCGAACAATACCAAACATCTAGAAAGCTCGGATTCGCGTTTCCAATTCCCAAAATGCCTACCACATAACGCCGCGCCTTCAGTTTTGTTTCAGACCCCAGGACACATCAAAGCAGCGAAGGAAAAAGAAAACTCACCGAATCCTCACCTCGGCTTTACAAGAGAGCCACAATATGCACGAGAGAGTCAGTATCAACCGCAACGGCATCAACGGCATAACGAACCCTCACTCTCAGCCCACAAACGCCCAGATGCCATGACCTTCGCGCATGCTCTCCAAATGCCGAAGCCCTTCATTTCCCAGCACATGTAACAAACGCACCAACGCACATAATCCCCGTTGCAAGGCCAAAGCAAGTGCGAGAACAAAAAAGCACGCATGTCAAAACATCAAGACAAACCGACCCTTCTTTCCCTCTCTGGTCGGGAAATTTGTCGATACCCTCGGGGAGATCACGGGTCCGCACTCTCAGCCTCACGGCGACAGCGAAGGGGAAACGAGCAAGGACGGAGGAGGGGTGGTGAAACAAGAAGGGAGGCTGAAATCGCCGAAGTCTTTCCCCACCTTTTGCCGTACCCAGCCACTTGGACTATGGGCACCTCGGAGTCGGCTCTTTCACGAGGCAATTTCACGCATCAAAGTGCGGAGAAAAAAGGCGGTCAAGTTCGTCTGGGTCACTTTGGTTTCAATCTTGCCTTGGGTAACATTGCGCTGCGTTGTAGGTGCGTTTCAATCCCAATTCGCGTGACCTCGAGCCTTTCTCGAAAAGGGTGGTGATTAACTGGGTGATCGACGCAAAAGTATGGGGAGGGGGAGGGAGATGTATGTTCATTGGTGGTAGTTGTACAGCGCTTTAATGGTGATGTGCAAGGCTGAGGCTGCAAATGTTGGGCTAGTGTGGCTAGGGGAGGCTGGGGCATCGCGAGGGCTCGCGTGACACACAACCATGTGCAATAACTGGTGCACAGAGCTTGAATAGCATGGTATGTTGATGACGTTGGTTGTGTGGCTGTGAGGATAATGCTCGTAATTGCGGTTAGTCACCAAGTCTGTAGTAGTAGTTGCAAGTCTGCTTCGAGTGTCACAGTAGATATATCATGTAATGTGACTGATTTTGATTGGCGGAGGTGGTAGATAGAGTAGCTAGAAAATGGGGGGTGCTTGTTGGCAGGGTGGCTACATGGCGACAGGCAAGAGGAGCACACATGGGGATAGGGAGCGGCAGGACAGGAACTAATGCCCTCAGGTAAAGGAATGGCTTGGACGAAATTACCGTCCGTAAACAAAGAACAAAGACAAGAGAGCGACCGTGGTGCTCTTGTGCGCCGGATGGAGTTATAAGTGACCCATTCAATTGCCCGGTATCTAACACCCCACAAACGCCCAGTTGAGGAAACAAGAAAAGGTTGGATATAACACAAGAGAGGTGAAAAGATTCTTCGGTGCAGCCGCCACAAATCTTTCTTTATCCTCGTCAAATGCTGGTCTGCACAACGGTATGGTGGTTCCGTCGTGTACTGAATAGTAACGGGCTAAATCGCAAGATGATTCTTACTCTCGTCGTCAAAGCGTGATTGCGCGCACCGTGGTGCGAGACATGGTAGTGAAGGAGATTAGGTAGTTGCGTAGTCAGGGTATGGAGGTGTTCGTCAGCGACGCCAGTCGTGAGAGAGGGTCGACGTGAAGAGCGCACGTGTTGCGCCAATTGCCCTGTTTGAGGCACTTATACGTTGGTAACCTAATGGAGTGTCAGTGAGTGGCGTTTCGTCAGGCGGCATCGTGGATCGCATACCTTCAATATCCGCCTCGAGTAGTCCTCGTTGTCTGCAATACTGCCGTTGCTCTGCCTCCGGTCGACGAAGCTCGGGTCCAGACGCGAGTCGTTCATGGACGAGTTGCTGGTGTGTAGCTTGCCGCCGTTGACGAAAGCATTTACGTTGGCGGCATTGCGACGGTAGTCTTCTTCTGCTTGATGCTGACGTCTCCGGCGGAGCAAGAACCATACACCGAACATGATCGAGGCAAGGGCTAGTATGCCGACGACTACGCCCACTGCGATGGCGATTGTGTTTGGTTTGCTGTCTTCTTCGGGCGCCGCAGATGGAGTGGCCGAAGCCTGGGCGGCACCGGTTGATGTCGGAGCAGCGGACGACGGCTTTGGTGCTACTGAGCTGCTGCTCTCTACTTCGGGCTCGTAAAAGTCGACTGGGTTCCTAGTTGTTCCGGTGAGAACGACCCATAATTTGTCCTTTCCACCACCTAAGCGCTGTCAGTCGGGAGCGAAATAAGGGAAGGTTGTCAGCTTACAGGTCCATGTCTTGTCGCCGCTACACGTGGTGCCACATGTCTCGTTCTTGATCTGCCATTCTTTGGCGGGAATCTCGTCACCACACCAGCATTCTTCGCCGTTCGACAGACCCATAACGGGCTTGTTTTGCTCGATGCAAACGAGTTGACAGTTACCAGGCGACTGGAAGTTGAAAGAGCCGTGGTTCTCGAGTGGGATTCCGGTCTCGAAGCAACCGATGCTCACCATGGCACTTGCTCCTAGGGTCTTTGTTGGTGTGGTGATAGGGTCCGTAACGGTCGCCCATGTTGGCGTCGGCTTCTCTTCCGCGGCGGCCATCAGGACCATCGAGGCCGCGGCCAGGGCGGAGGCGAGTCTGATGTAGACCATTGTGGTGATGTGCTTGGTTAGTTAGTGGTGCGCGTCGGTCGGCGGTGACAGCGTGTCGCACGGAGGGCTATATGCAGAGGCGTCGACACATGCAAGGCCCTGTGGGCGTGGATAGGTCGGGCGGTCCGAGTCGGCGGCGGTGGTGATAGTGGTGAGAGAGCGAGTTGTTGGCTTCGGCGTGGATGTAAGGCTGAGTGGATATGGGGAGGGCGGCGGAGATGGAGTCGTCGACAGGCGCGATGGACTGGGACTGGAGGCTCGATCAACGATGCCCAGGGCCGTCTGGTGGTGTTGAAACGGGGGGCGTCGTGGCAGAAGTCGAGGCGATGAAACTTGTCGGCTGCCCCTTGGAGAGAACCCCCGGTGAGTGACGCAAAAGGAATGAATCGACGGGAGATGGGTTCTGGGTAAAGAGAGTGTAGTGATGCGATAAAACGATTGTGGGTGTCGACGATTGACAACGTGAAGCAGACAAACGAGAGGAGGCTCGGGCCCTGAGAGTGGATCGCAGTGAAGAGAGGACAGGAGAGTGCGCCCCAGTTAGGACAGGCAGGCATGCAGCCAGGAGCAGGAGCCAGCCTTGGCAATTAGCCTGTGCCTGCGTCTGACTGCCGCCATCTTTAGCCCACCCGCCCTGTAACTTTGGACAGCGCATGCGTCTAAATTGCAGCGCGTCCTCCAGCTCCCCTCGCATCTCCTGCGCCAAAGTCTATCCTCGCGGTCTTCACACCTGCCTTCACGGCATGCATCCAGGGCCTCGTGTGCGCGACAGCCTGTCACGACGTCGGCCCAGCTGGGCAAGGCGCCGGCCCACTAGTGCCAGGAACAGCGCCGTCATTGGTCGCACGCTGTTTCATGCTTGCCGGGGGGCGGCAGGGGTGGTCGCAGGCTAACCCAGGACCGCGCGGTCAGGCACTAAAGCGACTCAAGCGCTCGGCCAGAGGGTGTCGCTGACGTTGCGATACTCAGGACGCGCACGATGCTTTTTTGCGATGGATGCCAGGTCGAGAACGTTCTCGCGCTCCACTACTGCGCTGTTGGGACTGCCTACCATCGTGGAAGGCGGGAGTGGGACGCGGCCACGGTCGAGTCGCGTCTCCCATGTGGAATCTCATTTAACTAACATCCGGAATCTGGAGCATGGAAGCCGTTGTCCGCTCTATCCGAAATGCGAACACCACAGTCTAGACATGCGCGGCCCGACACAATCGCGATGAAAGTTTAAAAATGTGAGGTGACCATAGCGGAGGTTGCACGCACTCTGGCCCGAGAAAAAGCAACTTGCACGACATCTGCATCGTGATTAAGCGGCCAGTATCTCAACAGTGACCGTTGTGCCTCTCCATACAGCGCCACATACACAGAACCTCCAACGGCTGAGTTAGACACATGTCAAAATGCTTGGGTGACCTGAGACACGAGCGGGACGCAGCCGCATCGTGCAAGCTCGTCCTAAGATTCATGCTCGTGTCAAGATTCCCCAGGTTTGTAGCAAGTCGCGCCAAGTCGCCGCCGGACTGCAGTGCTACCGGATTCCAAGGCCCCTCCGATTTCATGATGATGCGCTTAGTCACCCAAGTCACGTGCATCTCCCACTTCCCGATCGGGACGCGTGCTCAGCATCGAACCAAGCTTCACCAGGGCCTCCGATGACCAGCCACGCTTAATGCGCCGTCCGCCCGTTGCCTGTCGCCGAGCAGTGCAATCGCTCCAGTCTTCCTCCTCCCAGCACATATGGATCTCTGACGACCTCCTCACCGGCGCCCTCAATCGATTTTTCCCCAGTTCGTGCCCGCAACAGAAGCGCCATGGCAGCCACGTTCCGGGGCCATTGGAGGCCAGGAGGAGGGCAGCAAAGCGCCGAATGACTGTCTCAGCGGGCTTCTACCCTCAGGGAAACTTTGCGCCACTGTTCAATCTCGGTGCGCTTTTTGGCTTCCGCAAAGATGATCCGCCCACTTGGAGATACGAAGCACCGTCTTTACAAACCCATGCAGAGCCATTGACTTCGCGTACGTTGCGCAGCGCATTCTCCACATACACTCAGCTAATATCGACAGCAGCTCAGCATGTTCCAAGCTTGCCCATAACGCAACCCAACCGTACATCCACCGAGCACACAGCTTCGACGCCTACCGCTTCTACATTCGGTGCCCCATACCCTTTTTCGCAGAATACTTCGCAAGATAAACCGCAGGAACATCTGAGCAGATCAGGGGAATGCACAGTCGATGCGCTGGATCCTGAGGCGCATTTTGACGACTTCAAGACAAAGATCGCAAACGCTGGAATTATGTCCAGTACCGAACGGGGCCGATTACTACATCAGAGCTGGATATCATGTCGCCCAGCCACCAATATCGATTGGGTCTACAACGTCATGGTAGTCAAGCATCTGACCGAAAACCGCTGGGATCACACACGCATCCTTTCCAGCCTCAAGTTTTTCAATTTACCTCCCACGTACACGCCCGAGAGTCTCGACCTCCTCAAGTGTCTGGAAACGTCCGGCGCGTATCTACCGCATGCCTCCCGTGTCCACCGCCGCGTATATTCCAAGATGATAGAAGCCGCTACATCAGCTGCAGATTCAACAAGCTCATTACAGGATACCCAACTACTCACACTGATCCGGTCAGCCCTTCGCAGCTGTTCCTACGTTACTGAAGCCGGCCAAAGTGCTGTAGGCGATCTTTGCTTACTTGCGGACAAGATCGAGGCTTCGAACTTGAGAAAGGCGATACGTTCTTTGCTGGCCGATTTCGACAACGCAGAGAAAGTCATCATGTTGATGATTGCACGCGCTTCTCACAATTATCTCCACGCTGTCGAGGAAATACTTTTCTTCCTGCCTGAAGAACGACTCCAGTCGCTAGTTTCATCGGTGACTCTGTCCCTCATACAAGGCGTCAGGAAGACACGATTGTCGGCTGAGACGTACTGGCACTGTGCGCGTGCGTGGATGACAGTCCTTGGAAACCTTGACGCCCGATTCGATGCAACCCGTTCCAATAGCACCTACACACAAATCGCCTTCACCGAGGTGGCTGAGGGTGTATTCAAGAGCGAACGTACGGGTACTAAGCGGCCACTTCTATTACTCTATGCTCTCGCGTTCCGTACGGCACAGCAGCCAGGCTATGGTGTGTACAAGGACAGTTGGTTACAGTGCGTACACGCCTACGCGGCCTCTGCACTGAAGCAGCAAGGCATACTGAGAATTGAAGACGAAGTGATAAAGGTCTTTAAGCACATGCGGACGGCTTCCGTTCGGTATGGGCCGATGATGAGTATGGCTGTCCATACATTCACATCCCACGCCAGCCTTCGGTCTCTGCGCCGATTTCAATACCTTGTACAAAAGTATCGATTTCCACTACATAACATAGAGGCCATACAAACCCGTCTCGCCGCTGAGTTGCCCACTCTCCGACAGCAACCAAACCTGCAGACAGTCCAGGAGCGCGAACAGCACGCCTCCACATTACGTGCATGCCAATACATCTCCGATTCTCTTAACAAATTCGCCGGACCAGCGATCTCGACTACGCTTGTCAGCGATCAAGAAGAGATGGAAACTCTACAGGCCCGTCGGGAATTTGTCGCAATTCTGGACCGCGCCTCGGACTACCATGCGCTGCCGCCAGCCTACGCCAACCTCACTGCTGACATACCGTTCTCTCAGCGCACGGCGCTTGTCCATCAATTAGCTCATCATTACTCTATCGCTACTACCCGTTCACATAACGCAACCTGGCGCTCCATCTACCAACTATACAACTATCTTGAGTCGCATTCCCTGCCAATCGGTCCTCTGTTTACCAAAGCTGTAGTCCGAGCTGCTATTATCCGGCCCATGATGGAGCACAGGTTCGTCAGTGCAAGGACATTGATTTGGGTGTGCCAACTCGTTGCCAGGGTTGAAGGTGAAACAGTAGCAAGGCAGATTGAAGGTGCTTTCCATCGCTGGAGAGGGGACCTGATCAAGCATGCCAAGGAGGTTCATGATGCTGCTGGTGGTGATCGGGGTGCGAAGGCCATGGTGGGAAGGTTGAAACAGTTGAATCTGTTGGGGCCCAAGGGTGATTAGATGCTGTTGTGGAATAAAAGACTAGTTGATTACATATACCCCGTAGAAAGCACGTTGTTACAGACGACGGAGATGCGCTTGGTGCTTCTGGCGGCATCCAACGCGAAACTACACAGTTATGTCCTGTGCACTTGGATTTGACGAAGATCAGACTTCGGCTTAGATAATGAAAGTAGCCATTCAGTTAGTGTAGGAAGCACATCGTTGGAGGTCGGCTGCTGATGCTCACGAGATCAAAACCTTGGAAATATGCCCCACTTCGTCATGACTTTCATTGGGCCACTATTCTCCCCTCCTCCCATCCTTCATTGTCGCGCTGATCAACGCTGAGTACGACAACATCCTATGCAGATATCATGCGATGCGCTGAGTACTAATCTTTGAAGTCAGAGGTTTCGTATTTCCGCTTGCACTGACGTCATCTGACTGGCCTTGGAACACATCCTCACGAACAACGCATTCGACTTGGATCATGCCTGTAATGCGCAAAAGCACGAAGACATCAACTTTCGGGACTTCTTTCTGGTGATATTATATTGATCGTCATCGGATTGTCGTCATCGCTCGATACATAGCAGTCTCTCCCCCACGCAAACGCGACATCAATTGCATCAGAGTGCCCAATTTACAGCATTTAGACAGCGACTCTCACAGTTGAAGCGATCGGCTAGCGCCCTGTGTCGATATGGACCGAACTATATCCCCACCTAGGCCTACTATTGAACAACTACGACATGTCGTCAACAACTACCCCATCATCGACAATCACGCCCACAACCTCATCTTACCTCACCAAGCCGATACAATTCCCTTTGAAACCATAACCACGGAAGCTCAAGGAAGAGCTTTGCGAGACACCTTCAAATCACTGCCCCATTTACGAGCCGCCAAACAGCTACGCCGACTTTACGAATGTGGTGAGGACGCGGACTGGGAGGACATTCTGGAACAGAGGGTTGAGTGGATCCGGAGCAACTCCGAACGATTGCATCAACGATGCTTCGAAAATGTGCACGCACTCCTCATCGATGATGGACTCGCTGGGCCGGAGAAAGTCTTCCCTTACGACGACCATGATCGTTGGACCCAGGCACCTAGTAAGCGCATTGTGCGCATCGAGACGGTCGCTGAGCGCTTGATGGAGAATCTTGTACGAGATGCATCAGAAGACGATCTGGGAAAGACCAAGTTTCTACCGCAGGTCTGGACGAATTTTACTGAAGACTTCGAGCGCGAGATTCAAGACGCGGTTGAAGATGACAACGTTGCTGGATTCAAATCTGTCATCTGTTACCGAACGGGTCTTGATATCGAACCGGAGTATGAAGAAGCTGCGAAGACAGTTGGACACCCTTTCGAGCGCTACGTCAAGAGTTGCATTCGCAAACGCAACTACCGTATCGAAAAGAAGCACCTGAACGACTATCTTGTGTTGCGCACACTGGAGATCCTGTCCGAGCAATTGCCACATGGTGATTCTCTTGCGAAGCCATTTCAGCTACATACTGGCCTGGGAGACAATGATATTAGCCTCCTTGAGTCAAACCCAGCCTTCCTGCAGCCATTGATCGAGAACTACCCCCAGGTGCCGTTCGTACTCCTTCATTCAGCGTATCCATATACGCGCGAAGCGGGCTACCTCGCAACCGTATATCGACATGTGTACCTGGACATCGGCGAGGTCTTTCCAATGGTCAGTAGAGATGGTCAGACCGCGATCTTGCGTCAAGCCATGGAGCTTGTCCCTGGCAGCAAGCTGTTATATTCATCTGATGGCCATTGGTTCCCTGAGACATTTTGGCTTGCCAATCTACAGTTTCGCGAAGTTTGGTTCCAGGTGAGTTCGCTGGGATGACGAAACGCCTATTCCTATAGGCTAACAATTGCAGCTACTCAGCGAGTATATCCAAAAAGGCGACATAACCCCACACCAAGCTATTGGCATGACGAAAGATATCATGTTCAACAACTCCAACGTACTGTATGATCTGCGCTACGAGGCTATATTCGATGAGACAGTACAAGCGGATCCAAAACAACTTACCTACAACCCAAAGCCTGCTGCGGCTTCACCTTATCAGTCTCCAGCAGTGACACCAGCCCCTGCTATGAGTATCCCCAACCGATTCTCAGCTTCAAACACGCCAGGCAGTCGGTCAGTGTCTCCGTACACGCAGCCGGCGTTTCCCCCGCCGCCAAAGGTGCCGCATGTATACGACGTTCAGTTGTTCGAAGACTTTAGAGAAAGGAACCCTACAGTGAAGTTCATATACGTGCAATGGCTTGATTACATGGCCACTATCCGTAGTCGCATTGTTCCCATCAAGGAGTTTACACGCATGATAATCGAAGGAGAACGCATTGGCATATCACAGGGAAACACGGGCACTCTTCAGAACGATCGCCTTACCCCAGTTGTAAACACCACGGGCCAAGTCTACGTCGAACCCGATCTACGTTCCCTCCGTGTAACCCACAACAAAGATCCCCTTCCCGCTGCAACAGTACTCAGCTACTGGCGCACAGAAGACGGATCTGTCCTTCCAGAAGACCCACGAAACAACCTGGAAACGCTAATCAACGACCTCCAATACAACTACGCGACATCCCTTCTCATCGGCTTCGAAATAGAAGTCACATTCCTCTCGCGAAACCCCCCTTCCACTTCCACCAACCCTTTCCAAACTGAGCCCTACTCACCCTTGACCAAGACCCATGCGTGGGGAACCCTTACACCGGAACAATGGCTGCAACTCCCCTTCCTCAGCGAAATCGTCCTCGCACTCGAGGAAATGGGCATCGAAGTGCAACAATTCCATGCTGAATCCGGACCGGGACAGTACGAATTCGTGCTTCCGCCTCATCCTCCTCTGCTCGCTATCGACACACTTATCCAGGCCAGACAGGTAATTGCCCAGATAGCTAGTCTGCATGGACTGCGCGCAACGCTGCACCCCAAGCCCTTCGAGGGCATGGGCACGGCTGCCCACGCGCATGTTAGTTTGCACCCGCCAGAGAGGGACATGCAGTTCTTCGTCGGGGGCGTGTTGAAACATCTCCCTGCTATCTGCGCATTCACCATGCCAGAGGAGGTCAGCTATGGACGTGTAGCAGACAACTCTTGGACAGGCGGATCATGGGTAAATCACCTTTTCTCACTTCAAAACTAAATACATGCATACTGACACGCGTACACAGGTAGCATGGGGCACTCAAAACCGCGAAACGCCACTCCGGCGCATCTCCCCCGGCCGCTGGGAACTCCGTTGTATTGACGGCCTCGCAAACATGTACTTCGCCCTTTCTGCCGTTCTCGCCGCCGGCCTCCTCGGTCTCGCTGCAAACGACCTTATCTTCCCAGAACAGGACATTCAGGCCAATCCTGCAACCATGGACGAGCAGATGCGCGCTACGGTTGGTATGACGAGGAAGATGCCTAGGAGCATGAAGGAGGCTGTGGAGGCGCTGAGAGAGGATGGACCGCTTAATGAGGCGTTGGACCAGAAGTTCATGAGGGCGTATCTGGAGATGAAGCGTGAGGAGGCGAAGATGTTGGGGGAAATGGGTGAGATTGAGCGGAGGGCGTTTCTGGTGGAGAGATATTGATGGCTAGTTCGTAGTTGACCACGTGTATTTGATATGCAATTGATGTTCTTTGCTTTGTATGTTGTGGCGTCCTAGACCAGTTCAAAACGTTAGCCTCGGGCTTGAACGGTGCGAGTGAATGGTTCATGTTAGAAGGAGTCCTACCGCGATATGAGTTCTTGTCAAACACGTTGTTGCTTCACTTTATCTTGCTTGGGCGATTTATCAATGTAGTCGCCATGGCAGGCTATAACCTACACAAGTGAGTTTCGAAGAAGATTGAGTAAGGGTGTCTTGGAATAGTTTAAGTTTTATGGTTGAGACAGAGTAAGATGACTCTATGCTGCACTGCGTGTCGATGCTCAAGTATTCACGTTGGCATTTCGGAGATGCAGATTCATCGAACCTTGTGGAGGACTACTTCTCTGCTACCATCTAGTTTACACAAAGTCGTCCTTATTGCACAACATTACATGCATTCACAACTGAAGAACGAGCATACTTAGACAATTCAAGGTCTCATTTCATTGCGCACCATACATACAACAGTACAGCAAAACTATTAGAATTTCACCTAAGCCAAAGAAAACCACACTACTCTTCCAGGCCACTCGTCAAAGACGGTGCCGGTAAACCCAAGGGGAATAAGCGCAAACCCACGCAAACTATGCAAGATAAATACAAAGTTGACCGATATCTTACAACAGGATCATAGCCATGCCTGAGGCAACGGCAGCAACAACGTACAGACCCATGCCGAAAGCACCGTTGGTGAATTGGGGAGCGGACAGACCGGCGGCAGCACTGCCGGAGCCAGATGCGTCACCAGAGCTGGAAGCACCGGTAGCCTTGGCAGCGGCGCCCTTGACGGAGCCAGTGCCATCGACACCGGCGTCCTTGAGAAGGGAAGAGCAGCCGGAAGCGGTGGGGCTGGCAACAGCCTTCTTGGAAGTCGCCTGACCCTTGAAGTCGCAGCCATCGCTGACCTTCTTAGCGTAGGCGTTGAGAGCGAAAGAGAGCTGCTCGCGGCTGGAGCACATGCCGTAGACACCGTAGGGGCCGGCAGTGGCGTTCTTGTTGATACCCTGGCAGTACTCGCCGTCCTTCTCACCGCAGATGAAGCCGAACATCTTGCCGAAGTCCTCCTCCTCGGTGTCATCGGCGACTTGGCAGCTGAGAGTCTCCATCATGCACGAGCAGAGGTTGGCGTTGGCGACAGGTGGGAGGGGGTCAGACTCGGCCTCCCACTTGCCAGAAGTGACCTTGGGGCACGAGGCAGCGGCGGTGTTGCTGGGCTTGTACTCGGACATCTTGACACCGACGGGGGTGGCCTTGGCGATCTGCTTGGACAGGTTGTCAAAGTCGTCGTTAGTCTCGACCTTGCCGCCCTTGATGGAAGCGAGACCTGGGAAATGTTAGAGGCGATTCCAAGGATCAAAATATGGGAAACTTACCGAACTTGTTCTCCTCCTCGAAGTACATGTAGACGATACCTCCAGACCAGACACCAGTCATTTGCTTGCCGTAGAGAGCACCGACCTCAGTGAACTTGCGGGGGCGAGGAGTGTTGCAACCGTACTCAGCGAAGAAGACGGGAACGTTGTACTTCTCAAAGTTCTTGGTCTGGACATCGAAACCGGACTCAGTGAAGGAGGAGTCACCGCACCACGAGTAGATGTTGTAACCCCAGAAGTCAATAGCGCTGTCGGCGTCGCCGCAGTCGAAGTAGTTGGCCATGTTCTCACGGATGTCGGCATCGTCGTTGGTGGCGTATCCGACACCAATCTCACGGTAGTTCTTGCTCTTGATGTAGGCCTTGGTGTCACGGACAGCTGCCTTGACGAAAGCGCTAGCAACGGTGTTGTTGGGCTGGTTGCTGACCTCGTTTCCGGCGAAGAAACCGAGAGTGTTGTCGTACTTCATCATCTCGTCAACGACGCTGGTGTAGCGCTCGTATAGCTCGACAGTCCAGCCGGGGTCGTCACGGTTGATCGACAGTCCTGGCTCAGACAGATCGGCTACAACGTAGATGCCCGCATCGGCAAGCTGGGTCATGCAGTCCTCATGGTCCTTCTTGGGATCAATAGCGTACACACGGATAGTGTTGGTCTGGAGCTTCTTGAGCTGCTCAATGTCACGCTTGCATGCTGATGAGTCGGCAAGAGGGTCGGTGATGTCAAGGTCGTCGGTCGAGGCAGCTGTGGAGTTGGAGTTGATTTCTTGCTGGTATGCGACACCCTTCATGAAACTGCGCGATTGTTAGCTTGGCTTTTCTTGACTATTCTTGAGTTCTTGGGTCTCTTACAATTGTTCACCACTGTTCTTCTGGAAAAACTTCTGGCCCTAGGCATTGTTAGACACGGAAGTCGCACCTGTCGCACGACATCATACCTTGATGACAATGGGGTCAACGGCGGCTTGAACGCCCGCGAATAGGGCCGCAGTAGCGAAGATTCCACGCATCTTGGTAATAATAGTATAAGACGAGTTCCAAGAGTAGTGGTGGTGTTGGCGAGAGCTTGGGTTGAATCGCCGAGATTTGTGTTTAAAGGGTGTAGAGAATGTGTTTAGGAAGGAACAATGAGATGAAGGAGTGTGGCGCAACAGCGAATGAGGCTGTATGCGAAAAATGAATTATTCAAGGACGTAAAGACGGACTGGTAAAACAGAAAAGTGAGTGTAGAAACGACTCTGAGGCACAACGAGTGAAGAAATGTAGGGTCAATCAAGCATTCCAAGAGGGATCAGCGAGGGTTCACCTGTGCCCCTGATACTAGGCTTGTTTCGCATTCATGGCCCGAGCGCCTTCGGGACCATCATCTATTCTTCTATTGCACCAACACCGCAGGTAATATGAATGTTGGATGTTGGAGACTACACGTCCAGCTTCACGGTATGATAGTCAGCTTCTTTCACCAAAATATTACCAATGTTATTGTCGCATTTTGAGACTGTCAGCGCGGCTCGTAGTCAAGAGTCGCGATCTCGACGCGTACGTACACCCAATTTCGCACCCCACTGAGAGCCGCCTGAGCCCCACTGCGGATCATGTTGCTAAATTGAATGGCGTCTCTGCAGATGTCACGGTATGTGTCCCGAGCAGTCCCGGTGCGCCGTGTTGGATTATACGAGAGAAGGCGGGAAGTCGAGACTGTGGATCTTGGGGATGGATGTCGGCGATTGCGATGTTCGTCGACGCTGGAGTGCACAGCCTCGTGCAGCCTCGTGAAGCCCCGGCGTGACCGCGGCACTTTAGGTTCGGAGGCACACGACACGCAGTTTGTGCAGCTGAAACCTAGTCGTTGGTGTGGCGAAGTCGCTCGCGCCGTGAGGCGGCCAATGGATCATGGTGCGTTCACAGGCAGATGCCGCTGACGCTGGTGTTCGCACGTCTGCGACTCGGCTCCAGACAGCCATTGGTCATCACAAGGGAGGGGCATGGCGAGGCTTCAGGCCGGGAGCTGGCATGCCCGAGAGCGTTTGAGAGTAATGCTTGCATACAAAGATAGCTGGTCAAGGAGTGTGCGCAGTTATGTATTGATGAAGCGGTTACGGGCTAAGAGAAGTGCATGTAGAGAGTTTGCATACAGACGTAATCGAGATCAGACTTGCTACACTGGTGTTAGGACGACTTAGACGCTCTGTAGCCGGCTCATTTGCCATAGTGTCGACGTTGGGAACCGGGCGGCCTAATATAGCTCGCCAGCTGGGGCCCTGGTCGGTTGAATTGGGGTGCGGTGAGGGATTCCGTCATCATGCGATCGCTTTTGATTCATGCACGACTCAGGAGACTCAGGCGCAACGAGACAGCGGCTTTTGGGAGGGAAGTAAACATGCAGGCGGCAAAAGGACTGGGGCATGTTGAGGTGCGGTGTGTTCGGGTGTGATCAGGCTCAACAGAAGCACTAGCAGCGACTGGCGGCCGTCAGCCCCCTTTGGATTGCGACACCAAGCACCGTTGGCCTTTGATGAGCTAGGGCTAGGGCGTTGCGGAAGCGCGCCACGTCGCGATTGGCCGTCAGATAAGAAACTTATCGTCGCTATCGCGGCCGGTCGAGCAGCGGGCGAAGCAGGCGGGACTGCCTTGGTCTGCCGGGTCGCTAGTCGTGGTTTGATCAGCGCGGGCCTCGCAACCGTGCAGAGCAGTCTTTGTTGGCCCATGGCTGCGAGCAGTCGTGACGTGAGCGAGGGCGAGTCCAGCGGCGTCACGACCAGCAGCAGCGGGGGAGCAGAGGCAAAAAGCGGTACTGCAGTCTCGAGCTGTCAGCCGAGTCACCCAGAGCGCGCTGCGTCGGCGCCGGGTGACGGCAAGCAGGGCGGTGGTGTCGTCTTTGTTGTTGGTGTATTCGGGAACCGGTAGTATCGATATGCAAGCAGATCGGAGATTCCATGGTAGCTGGTTTCCTGGCCAGCGCCGTGCGGCCTCCGCCAGAGCAGCGCGCAGAGGGCGCGCAGCAGATCGCAGCTCCTCTTGCTCGAGTGAGCGCAGCGGAGCAGCTTTGTAGTGTGCATACGTCCATGATCTCCGGTGCCTTTTTTAGAGGGGCGACTCAATATCGGGACGTGAATGCTAGCGAAGGGGACCCATGCGCAGCGTCTCTGACGGCGTTAGGCTAGCTTGGCGGTCGTGCCTTTCATTTTCAGGGGAAGCTGCTAAAAAGCTCTTTGCCTGCCCTTCCGCATTCCACACTGTCGCTCACTCACCACCTTCTTCTTCACGTGTCCGTTTTCTTCTACATTGCCTCTCGTTTCATTGCGTTGAGGTTGTGTAGCTTGGACGACCCGCCCCGACTGCTCCCTCATCCGCCTTGAGGAGGAGAGCCGCTACCCGCCACTTCCACCCAGCCTAATTCCCACTTTCGCCCCAGCAGCAGACAAGCGCCGATTCGCCGCGCGTCTCTCCTGGCAACCACGACCGGCTGCATACTCAGCTTTCCACTCGCTACGCCCGACCACAACACCAGACTCTCTTGCACTGCAGCAGGCACGAGCAGCCCGCTGTGCTACTGAGACATCGCCGC